ATTCTTAACACCACTTATTAACCGATGCATGCATCAAGGGGTAGACATCATTCAAAAGCCATAATTATAACTGGGTCGGTCGGGGGAAGGTTTGCATACAATGCAATTTCTACATGCAAGCTCATTTTCACATATGCACATATAATTAATAAAGTTGATTCCTTGGGAATTCTAATTGGGTTTATAAGCGTGACAAGGGGAGCGAGGGGTTCGCACATCCTCCCCACAAGCAATAAAATACAAACATTAGGTAGATGAAGAAAAGAGCGTTTAAATTGATTTTTAGTTTGAAGCTTGCATCATTTTTGTAAACATTCAAAACAAATCTTTTTTGCCTCCCTTATGTCCCTTATGTCACGACTGAAAACCGCAAATATTTTGGCGATTACACCCCCCCCCCCCCCGACTGAAAGCTGACTACAGCCCTGGGGTTTTATCAAAAACTATATCATTAACATTTTATCATTATGCAGGAAATCCAAATTGGTAAATATGTTGCATTTATTGAAGGAATTCCACTGTAAAATATATATGAATGTTTGATATGAATATGAATACATCCATACTCTAAATATCCATTCTTTTGATATATGATGTTGTTTCAAAGGCAATTGAAAACTTTAATCTAACTAAATCATTAAAGCATTTCTAATTGCTAATTATGTGTATCAACACTTCGATTACACCTCAGCCGGAGATTAAATCTTAATAATTTGATCAAAGGGATTGTAATTTTCCCCAATTCTCTTATCTATGTTGCTATGTGTATACTCGTTATATTGTGTCCGGTATGTGCAAGGGCGTTACAATACCCGGGAAATTATCGGTTCGTGCAGTACTTGTTTGTGATAGCGCCCTCTGTAGGTCACTGTGCTTATAGCCTACAGTAATACGGGGTAGGATATCGGGAATTCGGTCAGTTTCTATCCGTCGATTTCGCTATGAATTGAAGCAAGTGTGACCACTTTATCCACTTAAACAATTTGATAATTGATTAAATCTTTAAACAAAATCGATAAACACGTTATACACTTCCTATCTCCTTAGAAATTAGCATGTATTTATGGATTGTGTTTTCGAACAAGGCTCGACCCATACCAATAGGGAAATCCTTATGCTAATTAGTATGACGTCATATTTTCCTGGGGAATCCTAGATTTCAAAGCTTCAGTCTGTTATTGTGTCAAATGTAAACGCTCTTTTGCAGACAGAAAATTGACAGATTAGCTTTTAACTTTCAGCTTTGATGTTTAAATATTCTGTATTTCTACTGGACTTCTTGCTGAATATCATATAATGTTATAACTTGATTTGGACAATTGCCTGATTGATCATTCTGAAATTTTGATTGTGATTCATGATTGATTGGCAAGAAAAATAATTCCTATTGTTTTCCAGCGAAGTCAAAATGTTACAGCATGAGTTATAATGTCGAGTTTGCATCATGTTAAATTCTGCTAGTGATTAGAAGTCCATGCACAAGCATACACATAAGAGACAAACACACCCAGGCTCCAGGCCGTGGATGGAAATATAAAACTATTTAAGGCACAAACTGGTATTAATAGACCGATATGTAGTGTCTGCCATGTATTGAAGGTAAACCAATCTGCATTATTAATGTTTCTTCTATCAATACATGGATTGTGCAATAGAAAAGCAATGGCACAATCAAAAATGTGCATATCAATCGTGAATATCTCTCGGTTCAAAGCTTATTTCCAACAGAATCGTGTCAAAATATGTGTCTGAGTAACAGTTATACATTATAAGATCGCAAACTCTTACCAATTATCAGCCGAATGGCTCATTTTCAACGAAATGTCCTTAAGACAACAGCCCTGGGTCGCGCCTGAGACCAAAAACTACTTCAAATAGCCCTCCCCTAATTATATTGGATAATCACATTTATGCGTGCGTGCGCAGCTCATCCACTGAACGAAACGCCACTTCCCGCTGAAATCACCGGGTATTGATCTTTCCCTTGGTATGTGTTGATAAACCAAAGATATGTTTTTTGGATATCAACATTCAGAAAAAAGTGTAATATACCATTCTAGATACTTTTGTTGCATCCTTCATAGCAGGGTTAGAAAACTCAAACGGATACCAGTTTTGATTATATGGTAATCAGGGCCGTCAGATGGGGGGGGGGGTGCGATGGGTGCGACCGCACCCCCCTTTACCCTTTGCATTCGTTTGACTTCACTTCTTAAAAGAGAGCTTCGTCTTCACTCTTTCAAACTAAAATAAACCTGTGAACTCACCGCACCAATCAGTGTTCGTCGGCCAAATTTGACCGACGTTCTATATATGGTCATTCTTTCTGACGTCATCATTGAGCCCGGAATTGACCAATGACATGCACATATTTAATTAGAACGCATTTGGCATATGTTTCTTCAAGCTCGCGGATTGGTGGAAGAAAGGTCAGCACGTAGGTCAAAAGTGATTTATTACCCAAACTGTCACCGGTACCTGTCGTGGGGCGGGGCTAATAAACTGTAATATGGTATCTACTAGGCAGAGTGTAGTTTAACTAGACTCTGCACGCAGGGTAACCCCCCTTTGACACCCCCAAAAAAAAATTTGAAAAAAAAATTATTTTTTTGAAAAAAAATGTTTTTGAATTTTTTTTTTCATTGACTTATACACTTTGAAAATGCCCAGAACGCACCAAATAGCATCTCAAAATTGTAAAATTTTCTGGGGGTGAGGGTGGGCCACCCCTCACAATCCCCACAAAACAATGGAAAAGTTCTGAATTTATTTTATATATAGTCTCAGACACTTTTAAAGTGCCCTGACATCATCAAATACAAGTAGCTAGTGTAGTCAATGATTCTTGGAGACTAACCCTTACTCGCCCTCTGGCATCCCCACCCCACCTCGCTCTCTGGCACCCCCCCCCCCCATATAAAATTGAATTTTTCATATTTTTTGTTGAGTCATATACTTTGAAAGTGCCTAGAAAGCACCAAATAGCATATTAAAATTGTAAAATTTTCTAGGAGAGTTGGTCACCCTCCATCCCCCACAAAACAATTGAAATAATTCTGAATTTTGTGTATTGTCTCAGAGACTTTTAAAGTTCCCAGACATCATCAAGTAGCTCCTTGATATAGTCAATGTTTCTGGGGTACTAATACTTGCTCCCCCTCTGGCATCCCCACCCCACCTCCCCTCTGGCACCCCCCTTGACACCCCTCCAAATAATGGAAAAAATTGTGATTTTCAAAAATGTTTTAATTGACTCATACACTTTGAAAGTGTCCAGAGAGCACCAAAATGTCTGTCTTAAAATTGTAACATTTTCTAGAGGAAGTGGGCCACTCCTCATACTCAAAACAAAACAATTGAAAAGTTCCGAATTTATTTTATATATTGTCTCACTTTTAAAGTGCCCTGACATCATGAAATAGCTACTTGATATAGTCAATGATTCTTGGAGACTAACCCTTACTCGCCCTCTGGCATCCCCACTCCACCTTGCTCTCTGGCATCCCCCCCCCTTTAGACCCCCCCCCCCCCCCCAAATTGAAAAAAGTGATTTCGTCATATTTTTTGTTGAGTCATATGCTTTGAAAGTGCCTAGAAAGCCCCAAATAGTATATTAAAATTGTAAAATTTTCTAGGAGAGTTGGCCACCCCTCACATCCCCCACAAAACAGTTGAAATAATTCTGAATTTTGTGTATTGTCTCAGACACTTTTAAAGTTCCCAGACATCATCAAATAGGTTCTTGATATATTCGATGATTTTTACTCGCCCTCTGGCATCCCCACCCAACCTCCCCCTCTGGCATCCCCCTTGACAACCCTCAAAAGTTGAGAAAAACAATTATTTTTCAAATTTTTATTGACCCACTTTAAAAGCACTTTAAAAGTGCTCAGATGCACCAAATATCATCTTAAAATTGTAAAATTTTCTTGGAGAGTTGGCAATCCTTCAAATCCCCCACAAAACAATTGAACAAATTCTGAATTTCACTTATTGTCTCAGACAATTTTAAAGTGCTCAGACATCATCAAATAGCACCTTGATATGGTCAATGTTTCTGGGGGACAACCACTTGGTCCCCCTCTGGCACCCCACTCTTCACCCTCTCATCCTCTTTGACATCCCCAAAAGAATTCCCATTTTTTATTGACTCATACACTTTGAAAGTGCCCAGAAAGCACCAAATAGCATCTAAAAGTGTAAAATTTTCAACGGGGAGTGGGCCACTCCTCACACCCCATATAAAACAATTGGACAGCTTGGACACTTAAACAGTCACCAAGTGACATAATGAAATCATAAAAATTTCTGGCACCCCATCCCAAAAACTAAAGCATTGATTTACTCAAACACATCAAAAGTGCTCAGAATTAATCAGACAGCATCTTGAATTGGTTGAATTTTCCTGTGCTGCCCCCTCGCTCCCCTAAGAAGAAAATGATTGAAAATCTGAATTTCTTTAAATTGATTCTATTGATTAAAACACCTTAAAGTGTCCAGAAATCACTGAATGTGATCTTGAACTGGTAAAATTTTCGGGAAAACATGTATGCCCTTCTAGCACACCTTCCCCCTATTTCAGTGTTTCTCCAAATTGCTCATTCAATATTTAGTCTAAAAACCATAAAAATACTACAAAATTGGCTGAATGGCACCAATATAGGGAGTAACCGACCCCCCTTCCCCTCTCACTCACGCGATTTGATTTACGCGGCAAAAATTGACAATGTCATATTCTCTTTAGTAAAAACCGCACCCCCCTTGGAGAAAAGTGTCTTACGGGCCTGTATATACATGTGATTGTAGAATCAAGAATACTGGATGCCAGAAATTTAGAATTGTATAACTGGGCACTAATTGAGGCACTTGAAAAATTCGCGAAAACATTTCGAATATATAAAAAAAGAAACAAAATGTAAAAATTTTCAAAATTGCTCCTGTGAATTCAAAATGTTTCATAATATTTTATTCCATTAGATTGTGTCTTTTTTTGGCTTCAGATTTTGCGAGATGATACGTATGGTGTTGCAGTACATGCTGTGAAGTTAAAACGAAATGTAGAGATGTATCAATGGGTGGAGCATGAACACAAGAGGTAGGAAGAGATTCATACAGTGCTCTCCCCCAGAATTTTCCTTATTCTTCATTTTCAAGTGGGTGCAAATGGATTCTCAGTTGATGCAAGCCTATAATTATGTCACCACCAAAAACCATCTACAAGTTCTCAGAAGCTCAAATCTGACTTAAGATTGAACTCAAAATATTGTGAGCTACAAGGTGGTCACATGTTGTTGTGTAAATGCCTTGTTAAAATCTCAAGTGGGTGCAGTGCCCACTTGCTTTAATGCTGGGGAGATCACATCGTACTTTACACTCAGACCTTTGACTGGTGTTTAGCGAAGATGGTAAACACAAGCACACAAACAACAGAAGGCAGAGCAACCATTTCCTTCATATCACAACATTTCATGATGTAATTTCATGATGTTCCGTAAAATGTGGTATTTAGGCAAAAGATGGTATTTAGGCAAAATATGGTGTTTCTGTGTATTTTCATCAGTATCTGTAACAAATTGTTTCACTTTTGTAACCATTTTAATCATTTACCAGGTAGTGACATTTTGTTGTGTTAATGCCTTTAATTGCATTTTTGTGTAATTCATACTGCCATGATCATCAGCAAATTAAATGGTTATCATAATTATATTGATACTGAAATTAATTATAATTCTGGAATTTATGCAGTACATTGTTAAGTGTATGATGCGTAAGCAAAAATTGTTATGATTCACTTTTCATATTCAACTTGTATTGTACATGTGCAATTAATGAAAGGTAAAATAGGTGAAATATGGAATACAATAACAATGTGTTTAGCTTTGCTATTTTTGAATGAAACTAATGGTTTTTATTGCACTGTCTGTTTGATCAGCCTCGTTAAGCTATATGCTCAATAAAGTCACCAGATGATTGTGTTTATTTCTAATATGAACTATGAAGTGAATCATCAAACCAGCTTGTACATGTGAAATTTCTTCATTTGATAATCTTTTATCATGAACGGCAAGATATTCAGGCCTGTAGCCAGCTTTTGCCAAGAGGGGTTCACTTTTCAAAAAATTCTAGGGGGATTCACATCTGACAACTTAGCCCAAAATTGCTTGCAAAGTGCTCAGATTGACTCCAAAATGGTGAAAAACTACATGATTTTGAAAAAATTTGGCTGCAGGTGGGGGGCTGATGTCATTTTTTCCTTTTTTCAAAAGGCTGTAATTATGAACATTATCTGTATATTTTAAACTTCTTTTTCATGTTTCTGATGTTTCATAATTATTTGTAGGGAAATTAATGAAGGCAGCAACACAAGGACTGAAACAACATATTCTTACAGTAAGTAACACTAATAAAGGATGAGGAATGGGGATAATCAGTTTCTCCACAGACTTACAGAAATATTTCTGAAAGTCCGTTCATTTATTGGTTTGAAAAATAATTTTTTCCACCTGAAATCATACTAAAGATTTTTGTCAGTTTTCTATATCACTCTAAAGTCTTGTAATTGTAAGTCTGGAAAAACTAATAAATAGTATTCTTATTTGACATATGATAGGAGGCTATATCCTATTGGAAATTCTAATGTACTTTCACAATGAAATGGGTGAATTATAAGATTACATTGTATTTCAATTTTTAGGCCAAGAATGGAGATCAGATGTTGTCAACAGTGGATCCTTCTCTAGTCCATATAATCATCAAAATCCAAAGTAAGTCCCCAAGACAAATTGTCTGATATTACAACATCTACTGAGAGGCTATACATGTACATGTACAGTAAACATGCCTTAGTGAACACCACTCTAGCTCTAGTGAACACCTGTGTCCAGTGAACACCCCTTCACAGCTCATACTCTACTGACTTCTGTATAAAATACCCTCTCTGTAATGAACACCTACCTTCTATGAACACATTTTTGTGGCTCCATAGGTGTTCACTGAACACAGGTTTTACTGTAGTTATACAATATAGTGCACTGTATATCCCATACAGGTTGAGTATTAAATACATGTACACTAGGGATCCCACGATTGCTCGATGCACCGATATAATCGCTAGAAATCACCTCCGATTCGATTAATCGATATGGATCCTCTATTTTCGATATTATCGATAATCGTTTTTCAAACCAACTCACCCGTTAAGTAAGTAAAAGAGCTCGATTAAACCAAAATTGACACAGCAAAACTCCGCGAAAAATTAAAAATTAAAAATATTTTGAAGAGCTAACATGACACGCCACATATTTTCGTGATTCAAACCGAACGTGAACTTTTTAGCAATAAATGGATTTTCAATAATTTTGCGAACATTTTTTGTGATTTTAGATGTGCATTTTCACACCAAATATTATACCATAAATTATCTTAATACGTAATAAATGCGATAGGGCCCTAGACGTATCTTTATTTTAATGTTTTAAGATGTTATAGTATCCTTTCAATTTGCAATATATTTAGCGAACGACAATCAAACATGACGTTCGAATATTTAATAAACAGCGAAACCTCGGCGAGGTTTAAAACTTTAAATCCCATAAATTTGCTGATATTCGTAATATGGGGAACACCATCGCAATAAACACAACCCAAAAGATAAGTCTGAGGTGTGGAGGTCTTCAAACAATCAATAACAACACAACTTTCTGTGCTCAGAAGAGTAACTTTGAATTTTTTTTTAGTGGGGGGACTCGAACCCCCCCCCCCCCCCCCCCCCATGTAAACACAGACATTTACATGAATGTGTATCGAATCGTTTGTATCGAATCGTTTTCATAATATCGAGATACGTATCGAATCGAAACAAAATGTATCGTGGGATCCCTAATGTACACGAAGATTTAAATTGATTTTTGTTCAGTGAAAACCTTTTGACTTTATATGTGATATATTCCATGGTCTAACATGTGGTTACCTTATTAGGTTAATCCTAGATACATGCCCATTCACTAGACAAAATCATTAGAATGCCATTATCCAAATGTTTTTGCCATTTTTACTTATAGTTCTATGCCAGTCCAGACCTCTATGAAGCAGGCAAATGAAGTACAAGTTGGCAACTTTTATTTATCGACAAGTAAGTTATTTAGGACAGGCCCGTAGCCAGGGGGGTTCGATGGGTTCGAGCGAACCCCTCCTGGCCAAAAAAATCATGCAGTTTTTCACCATTCCGAGCACTTTTTAAGTGATTTTGGCCTTTTTTTGGACCAAAATTGTTACAAGTGAACCCTCCCTGGAATTTTTCAAAAAGTGAACCCCCCTTGGCAAATCCTGGCTACGGGCCTGTAGGATGATACCTACCTAGTCTTGCGTATATACTCTCCATTGCCCCCCCCCCTCATTCATTTTCTTTAACACAGTTGGGGAAATAGATAATGGGGGGGGGCAGAAACTTGAGGCAAGAGTATATTACATAAGGTGATAGGTTTTTTTGTTGTAATTTACCGAAACATTATTTATCATATGAAAAACAGTATTGTATGTAATTGCATTGTATTCCTACTTTTAGTTATGGATACTTTACATGTAACTACATCTATATTATATCAGTCAAAGTAGCCTACAGAAAAATAAATGACAGTTCAATATAAAATGCTAGTAAGTGTTATGTGACATACATATGTGACATGGGTATGTCATAAGTATGAGTACAAGTATTTATTCCGATTGTAATATGATAAACAAACCAGAGAAACAACTTTTTGCATTCATGAAATTAGTCATCATATATGCACATGCCTTAGGGGAGGCATCAAAAGTTCGATGTCGGATCGGAAACTAAATAAATCTAGTTTTGACTCTGACCCCCCCCCCTCCCCCCAAAAACTAAATACCATGAAAGTTGATAGCTGACTTCCGGTTTGAGAATTTATAAAATTATTGCTAAACATGATCTAGTTTTTTTGTTAATTCCTATCGTAATTTGCGGCTTTTAACAACTTTTGATAGAATAGAATCCATTGGAATGATCTTGACGAAGAAAGCATCAGGTAAAATCTTTATTTTTAAACCATTCAAAGCATTCTCAGTCGAAATTGCCAAAAATTTGAAATGTTGAAATTTGTCGGATAGCAAACTGAAATGGGTTTGAACCCCCTCCCCTCCTAACTAGATTTATTTACTTCATAGATTTATTTAGTTTTCTATCCCACTTCTAACTTTTGATGCCTCCCCTTATACAGTAAAACCTGTCTTAGTGAACACCTCGCTCTAGTGAATATCTGTCCCCAGTGGACACCCTTCCTCTGCACATATTCTACTGACTTTGGTATAAGTTACCCTCGCTGTAGGGAACACCTACCAACACTGAACGTTTTTTCCCAGCAAAGAAATATTCAATATCCACAGGTTTTACTGTAGGCCAGTAAATCAATTGTACTACTTATTGTGACATCATACATCATATAATTGTTGAATTACATACACGAGTGAATCAAAACATTCAATAAACCAGCCTTATGAAACTATAGAGAGCATTATTGGGTTGTTTTTTCCGTGATCTTCCCATCTTTATGCTGTACTTCTAAATTTCAGATTTACTAAGTAAATTGTCAGGATTCAAGAAGTTAATGCCAAGAGAAGCCCCCAAAGACCCCTCTATATTCCTCCTTGATGGTACCTTCTACCATGGATCAGGTCAATTGACCAACCCCCAGGTCAGTTTGCTTGTTTATATACAATGATTTTATACAATGATTTAGCAATAAAAAGGATTTTTATGAGCACACTCTAGTATACTAATGGCAATTGGTGTGTGTACACCAGCGTAGAAAATCTACATACATGTGGTGCAATCAGTGAGATGTGTTTGTTTTTACTTTGCCTTATGAGCGTAAACTAACCAGAACTCATCATACCTGTGAATGTTTTAATCAAAGGGTCAAACTATCATACCACAGAGTTCATTAAAACACACAGGCATTGCCTTTGCTATGATACCATGGATGGAGAAAAGTCTACATATCATATTAAAGGTCTTCAAATGGGCAGTATTTTTAATGGGTGTTTCTGCTACACATCAGGGATGATGTGCATTTGGTGTTAATCATTGCTTATTTATTGCTTAATTAAACTAAAATTTTATTTTAATTGAATTCATATTTTTCCAAAAAAGAACCTTTAAAAACAACCCTTTGAAAAAAATCACAATAATTATGATGATTTGGGTAAGACTTCAATTTGAATCAGAACGTACCTTTAAAAGAGAGCTTCATCCTCTCTCTTAAGTTAAGAGATTCTCTTTTGATCTCATCTTGTCAAAGTCCTGGTGTCAATTGCATTAGAATTGCAATTCCAGAAATGTATGCCTTTGTGAACAGTTGACAATTATGTCATAATCTAACTCCTATAAATATTTAAGTGGAACACCTCCCAAGTGGAACTCTATATTGAGGTATAAAAGGCATTCCACATACACAGGTTTTACTGTATATCATCGTTGTTAAATTACTTAAATACATTGTAGTTGTATTTATGTTCAGGTTGGTGATCTTCGTGTGACATTCCACTATGCAGGCCTCAGTGGGGCAGAATCAGCCTCCTTAGGACCTCCAGATGTTGTAAGTTTTGCACATATTCTTATTTTGATTGGAAAAATGTGGAAAGACCATTTTTTCTAAAAAACGGTGGTAGTATATGCTGTAAAAAATTCTAGGCTAGAAGGTTTTGGTTTGAAAAAAAGAAAGAACTTCTCAATATGCCATTGACCATTTGTTTCTTATTATCTATGAATATCAATACGATTGTATTATATGAGCACAGACATTAATATATGAACGTAGAATGAAGCAGACATTATTTTTGAGAGTGGATAAAATGTTTACTTCACAATATGCCGGAGATAACTTTTGTTGTTATATTTCAGGTGAGCGTGATTGCACGCCAGTCAGGAAATTCCTTGTCTAAATATGAAACTGAGGCTGGAGATGACCTTGAAATGTTGTATATGGGCCAACTAACAGCTGAGGTAACCATGTTTACATTTAAACAAAAATTGTATTTTGTGGTATTTTAAATTACAACTGTATAATCTGCATGGGTTTTAGACCAATAGTAAGATGGCAGTAGTGTACACTGTAGTTCATATGGTATGCTCTAAAGAGGGGAGTACCCCAGAAATCTTTATTTTAAGATGATTGGTTTTATATGTCTACATTGCTTCATAGTGAAATTAACGTAATATTATTTGAAGCATTTTAAAAAAAAATTTAGTTCAAAAATTTATTTATGTCACTTTCTGTCAGTTGACCAATCAGTGATGATGGGTCATCTCTATATGACTTTCCATTGAAGATATGGGTTTTCTCTGAACCCTGGGTATTCTCCCCTCTTAAAGAAGATAGTACTATATAAATGCACTGCCATCTTTTTGTGAACATGATTTGTATCTACGTATTTGTTGCATTGAAATGTCTTCTGCCATAAATTATTTAAGTCACACTGGTCCCTCCTACATTCTTTATATACACTCATACTCTTCGCCATAATATTGATCCTCTCGGACATAAACCCCAAGAAATGGGTAAAATCGGGTAATTGTTGTAAATAACATTAAAATCTCTTCAGAAATGCTCAATTGTCTATTACGAGTATATTTTACATTTTTTTCCAACAATATTTTTAACACTTCAGAATAAGACTCCTTTATTCTTGTGTGTTACAGCAAATCTTCCAGAAAGAACACATGCATAACAAAGTAGTGACATGGGGGGTGAGAGGTGGCGGTTGGCTGCTGATGTTCATAGGATTTGGCTGCTTTACAAGTCTAATAACAACACTTGGTAAGTAGGAGATATCCAGGGGAACCCCCCAACCCATCCAAAAATTCTTTCAAAATCACGCAGTTTTTCACCATTCTGAACACTTTTCAAGTGATTTTGGAGTTGCTGTTTATACTTGGTCACATGTATGAACCAATAAGGACCAATCAGGGAGGAGTATGACAGAGAGATAATAATATACAAATATTTATTTCATTGCAAATACCTTTACATTTGGCATCTTGTGAAAGATGTTTTAGAACATTTGCATGATGAGCGAATACCTCCTGTTCTTTTATGTCATGTGACTTAGGTATGACCAATGATATTAGCTGACAATTATAAAATATTAGATTAGATATTGTATAATAGAATAACAATAGAATATCTATATCTAGTAAAACATATACCAGTATGATTGATATTTTTTAGTTCTGATCCGAATAAAATGTCTATTTTAACTTTCATTTATAATTATACATGTCCGTGTCTCAAATCTAGAGTTTGAGATTCATTCATTTCATACTTTTCTTTTTGTTATTCCCCCAAGGCAGCAAGATCTCTCCACAATGTTAAAAGACGATTTTCATAGTTGGTATCCCTTGGCAGCCATTGGCATATTTTCTCAAATAGTTGGTACTCTTTTCTGTCCACCTTTCGTCGTTGATTAGCTAAATCTTCAAGTTCTGGTCTAAGTCCTGGTCAGAATTTGGAAAGAATATTTGTAGTTTGATTTTTAGTTTGATTTCATTTGATCAAACTAAAATATTGGTGACATATATTATAAACATGTTGTTCTTGCAATCAAGGACGTCTATCTCAGAGATAAACGTCCTTGTTGCAATGTTTTTACCCACTCAACTCCAGTATGGAATAAAGTATTTAGTTAGAGTATTCTTAGAGTGGCAGCAAATACATAGAGTTCAAAGTTGCAACTTGCAGGTAAAACGTTCAAAAAGCATGTTGATTGGTCTTTTACAATACATACATTTATTAAAAAAACTTAAAGCTGTTCCATAAAATGAAGTCATGTCTTGAGTAGGATATTTTAGAAAAAGTAGGCATGCCATGGAATGGTGAAAGCTTTCCAAATCATTATCATTATCTTTAACTGCACTATTCTCCATATCAATTTTGCTTGTTCAACTTTAAAAAAGCAAATAAGTAATACTCACTAAAGCAACCGCCTTTCCACCCAAGAAACCCTTGACAGCAAGATATACGATTTTTTGGGCATATTTCATCTAAGCGTGGTTCAAAGTGACAACACCGTCGCCTAAAATCATTTATAATCTTATGTTCAATACATTTTCATTCCATTTAAATGTCAATGAACAAATTAACCTATAGCAGGAGTCATATTTAAAAGAGTTTTAAAACCTTATGTTTTTGTTGACACACAGACTCAGACTGATATCTTGCAATGTACAGTATATACACTGCTTCATATATTTGGAGGCAAAAATGAACAGAGATTGCAAAAGCTGTCCTGTTTTAATGAGACAATCTTTGATAGTTGTTTCTGACTGATCTGACCTGATTTAAGCAGTGGATTCATACAATACAATCATTTGGCTGAAAATAGCTGAAATGTTCATTTTCGGTATTTTAGAATTTTTCATAGAGTTTACTTACCCATTCTGACTCCGATCCATTCCTTTTGTTAGAATTCCATCTGTTATAGCAATCCCAGCCAATAAACAAATGACTGCTGCCAATGTGAAATTCATCCTTATTTTTGAATCTCCAGATTTTTATTTCAGCTACTTGCCTTGTTTCCCTTGTTATGTTTTGAAAAACTTAGTTGGCATTTATTCAAATCATGAGGTCTACCCTAATATATGCTGCTATTCTTCTCAATTGCATGAAAATAGGAAATGTTTTTCTGATGTTAACAAGAAAAGTAAAAGAAAACATATCTTTTTTTGTTTCTGTTTTGTTTTGCTAGAACTTAGTTATTGTTTTGTATGTAGTGTACTAGACTTGCTAAAGCCTTTGTGACCCCCACTCCTCTGTACACCTTCCCATGGGTGGTTGTGTTGAAGAAGATAAGAAGGGGGATGGGTCCAGCGACTGGAAGTAAGACTAGTAGTGTACTTTGTGCACTACCTTATCTAGTTCCAAGTAATATCTCTTGGTATTATTCATTATTATCTCAAAAGGCCTCCATTCATCAGTCATTCAGTCATCCTTCTGTCTGCGGAATTAATCAAATTATTATGAGCCTTTATATTTTGTAGAAAAATGATGATTAGAAAAGAATTTGCATCAAGTTTGAGTTCCAAGTTTAGCTTACTCATGCCAATAAAAAGTTTGTTAAGTTCATTAGGGATATAGTGAACCTATAGTGAAGCCCTCCATCCATTATTCGGTCAGTCCAGGCAAGTCAAGTCCAGTCCAGCCCAGTCTAGTCCAGTCCAGTTAGTCAGTCCAGTACCACCAGGAAATCACACTGATTCTAAGAATATAGAAATTATATTATACAAATATTTTATTTTATTGAAGCAAATACCTGTACATTTTGCACAAGAGATTTTCCCAAAGCCTGAAGGGCAACTGGGATGTCATCTTCCGAAACATGATCCAGAAAATTACAAAATGCAGAAAGCAATATTACTTTATTTCATGACAGTAAGGAATGGATGATCAGCAAAAATTTCACTTGAAATTCTAGAAAATCAACATTTTCATATATGAAGTGCTTATCTTTCTTCTCACCCTCTAAGGAAATTTTCCTTGTTTTCAAACAGTTTTTGACAGTTTGACACCATTACTCGCACTGAATGAAGTTGCATTGTACATTAGTGGAACTTGGTAATTGTTCATCAAAAGGCTTCATTGCTCTTTTAAATCAAATATGGAAAGAAGTCAAATACCCTTGGATCAAGGATGATGTTCTATTTGCATGATCAGTGAATACCATCTGTTCTTTTATGTTATGTGACTGACTGACCTAGGTATGACCATTAATACAAGCTGATGATGATAACATATTAGATTAGATGTTGTATAATAGAATAACATATGCCAGTATATTTGATATTGTTTAGTTATAAAATGTCTATTGTATAACTTTAAATCAGGATCTGAAGTCTAGAGTTTGAGATTTGGACATTTCGTACTTTTCCTGTTTTCATTCCCGCAAGGCAGCAAGATCTCTCAGCAATGTTTTAAGACGATTTTCATAGTTGGTATCCCATGGCAGCCATTGTTGTATGTTCTCAAATAGTTGTCGCTCTTTTCTGTTCAGCCTTGATGAATATCTCACTATCTCTCCAAATTCTTGGGCATATCCTGGTCAAAATTTGGAAAAAATATTTGTAGTTGGATTTGTGTTTTGAATTCATTTTTTAGTATAATTTCTGAGAAACATTTGAGATATCAAATATGATTTTCATATGTATCATACAAACATAAAGCATTTTCATGAAATGAAGTTAGATCTTTTGTCACTTTGACAATTTTCCAATTTCCAGATTTAGCTTTATCCTTTTTTTCTTGTTCAGTTATAAGAAAGCGGATATGCCATGCAATACTTACTAAAGCAACCGCCTAACCACAGGACAAGCCCTTCACAGCAAGTTATATGTTCTGATGGGCAGCTCTCATATAAGGGTGTAGCAACTGCGCAACACCATCGGCTAAAATCATTGATCATCTTATGTACAGAGTGACTCAAAAAACATTTATTCAGTTGAACAGATTTGTGGGTTCTGCTTTTTTGGGTCACCTAGTAGAATTCATTAAAGGAATTCTAATTGTTAAAAATGACCAAAATATTGCAGTGTGATTACTTTCTGGGGTGAGGCCAAATGACCTTGACTTATTCATGACCCTACCTGCTTCATATATTTGTGGGTAGGAGTAAACAGATCATGGATTATTGCAATAGCTCACCATGGGAGTTGACGAGAGACATATGAAATAATCTTTCATAATCTGATGTTTTCTGACTGGTCTGACCCGATTTGGTACAGTTTACTTACTCATTCTGAGGCATATTCTGAGGCATTCCATCTGTTATAACAATGCCAGCCAATAAGTAAATTACTGCTGCTAATGTTAAATTCATCCTTATTTTTGAATCTTCAGATTTTTTGTTTAGTTATTCGCCTTGTTTCTCTTGTTTTGTTTTGAAAAATGTAGAATTAGTTGGCATTAGAGTGGCTGTTCAAAGGACTGATGAATGGATGTATATGGAATAATTACCGTATTCTCTTTAATTAGCGTCTAGTGCATTTAGAAAATTCAAAATTCAGCCTTCAGACCATAATAATAAGCACTAGTGTAAGTACTCTGTTATCGCTCACTTGATTTCTTTGAAAATTCAATTTTTTGTCAATACTGGGTCATTCCTCAATATTTCTAGAACTTTGTTAAGCGAGGCAGGCACTTATTAGGGGGTGGGGACTAAATACGGCGATTTCGGTAGAATAATAACAAAAAAAGGTATTATTTGTTACTTGATATAGTCGTAAACAAAGTACACATCTTCAAAAACAATACAATAACTAAGTTCTAGCAAAACAAAACAAAAACATAAAAATCATAATACAGATTTTTCTAGTGAAATTTAAACAAGATGTTTTCCTTTCCTTTTCTTGTAAACATCAGAAAAACATTTCCTGTTTTCATGAAATTGAGAAGAATAGCAAGTCTATACAGGGTGTTTCATAATGATTGTCCCTATACAGGATGTTTCATAATGATTGTCCTTCTCGCAATCACCAACTTAGATAACATCATAACTCCATGTCTTATATATCAGACGAAAGGTGATTCAATTTTAGACTGAAGCTCAGCAGCTTTTACTATTTGCTACTGTAACATATATATCTTCAAAAGGTGTCCATTTGATCTATGGCATAAAATCGAGTAGTCATGTGCTCTGTTAAAAGCAATGATAACCGAGGTCCAGAGGATATACAGTATCTTTATGATATTTGAAAAAATATTTAAATATTTCAAAGAATTACACAGAGAGCTCTAAATAATGAATGGATTTACTATCTTGTCTCTTTAAAACCTTAACAAATAGTGGCCATAAATTGAGTCCTGGGCTTAAATCCTTCAATTCCTTCACTTGTTGTGTAAAATGATGATGAATATAAAAGAAAATGTAAACTGGCTACCTTGATATGTGAATTTGCATCAGATTTAAGATCTCTTCTAAGTTTGACTTAAAGGGTGTATATAAAGATGAAATGGATACTCAGCTTTCATTCCATGTAAAGAAAACAGAAAATAATAAAACATTGATGGAGTGGGAGCTGTTACAATGACCCCTATTTTCAGAACGTTTCGTCCTGTGTATTTAATGTTTTGAATTATTAATTCAATTACAATAACATTGCCATTTTTGGTCATATCTCTTGAAAGTATTATACGCTATATTATCATATGTTGCATTTTGTTAATGGAAGGGAATCTAATTAATTAGTTTCCTCAGCTCAGAAAGTCATATTCAACATTTTCTAAGCCCTTGATATGTATATACTATACATCCTTGAATCATCCCAATAAAAAAGTTCATCAGGGCATGGGCTCTATTGAATGCCCATGATCAGGGATATAGTGAAGCCCTCCAACCATTATTCAGTCCAGTCCAATCTAGTTCAGTCCAGTCTAGTCTAGTCTAGTCTAGTCTAGTCTAGTTCAGTTCAGTCCAGTCCAGTCCAGTCTTGTCCAGTCCAGTTAGTCAGTCAAGTTAGTTCAGTCCAGCATTCAATCCAGACTGGTCAGTCCAGTCCCACAATGGTATCACAATACACAGATACTAAATATAAAGATTCCCTCCATATTTTAAAGAAAGCATATGAATGCAAAATTTTTAATAAATATTCATGGAATAATACAGATTTCTACTTAAAAAGAGTTATACTGTAATTTTAAATTACATGTTTATGTTTTTCAGTTGATTGGATACCAATTGTGCGTGAGTTAGTGGCAAAAGGTGTCACCACTATGAATCTGTTCTTGTCAATTAAAAGAGTTGTAATTTTAAATTACATGTTTATGTTTTTCAGTTGATTGGATACCAATTGTGCGTGAGTTAGTGGCAATAAGTGTCACCACTATGAATCTGTTCTTGTCAATTAAAAGAGTTGTAATTTTAAATTTCATGTTTATGTTTTTCAGTTGATTGGATACCGATTGTGCGTGAGTTAGTGGCAATAGGTGTCACCACTATGAATCTGTTCTTGTCAATCAGCCTCAGTTTGACTGTTATTGCCCTCGGCTGGATTCGCTATCGTCCACTTCTTGGAATGACAATATTGGCTCTTGCCGCAACACCCTTTATATGGACACGATTTTACAGCAGGCGGAGAAATGAAAATGGTGACAGTTATAGGAGTGCATAGAATTGAGGGAGAAGTGGATTTGTGGAAATATATGGAATGTTTATGAATATATTTAATTTGAATGTAAATCTTTGTATGCAAGGTTTTCTAAAGAAGTCAATCCCATTTTGTATATTACCATAAATCTGAGTCAGTAGATGGCACAGTGATCAGTCTGCAAAATCTATTGTCACATGACAGGCACATTACCCATTTACTGCGGATGGCCTAAAACAAGAGCCATGGTTCTCAAAGGATATTTCATAAATATGTTACCCTCTTGAAGCCCAAGTGGGTATAACAAATTACATGGGCTTGGTTTAAAAACTAGTATATCCGAGGCTCAAATGGAGTGTACTATATACAAGATAATTTAAAATAAATAGATAGTAAAAGTTCATAGTATTAACGATGATGAAATCCTAAATGTAATCTAATCAAAGGATACATCCACAGGAGTGTATCATTTAAAATCATAGCATAGTCGAGTGAAACATGTTTACAGTGAACATCTTTAAGAAGATGTTTATAAGAGATAGATGTTCATTAAGAGTCTAAGACTGTATAGTGACTGTATAATGATCTCAATAAAATAGTCTTGTAACAAGCCTCTGCATCACTTCCTCCAATTCCCAGGCCCATAACCAGGGAGTGGGGGTCAGGAGGGGGGTAAGAGCGAACCCCCCTGGCCAAAAAATCTTTCGAAATCATTCAAGGGATTTTGGCCAGTTTGGGCAAAAGATATCATAAGTTAACCCCCCCCCCTGGCATTTTTTTAAAAACTGAACCCCCTTGGCAAATCTTGGCTATGAGCCTGAACTCCCTTACTCTAACATAAATACATGGGTTGGCTGAGGAGAATGCAGAGATTTGTTGCAAGACTATCATCTTTAGTATTTCTTCATCATGTATTTTGAAGAATATTTAAAAAATGAGACAATGATATTAAAGTTCATTATTCTAGTCCTAGTGAACAATCTATTTTGAGTAAATAATATTGAAGTATAAGAAATACAGATAATATACAGACTTTAATATGCTGTGTGGATCAATTGATTGCTCAGAAATGTTTTATATTATATGATGAGCTTATTCTGTGAGCAGCTTTGCAGTATCATACATGTACATGTCAAACTCTCTGCTTTCCTGTAATCTACCTTTTCTTTAGACTTCTTCACATTGTATTTAAATTCTTTAAAAAAGTGGTGTATTTTTATCGCACTTTGAAAAAGTGCTATATTGTCGTCGTCTTGTGCTGTTGGGCTGGCGGGCGTGCGGACGTGCGGTCGGGCGGGCGGGACATAAACCAAATCTTGTCATCAAATTTCCAGGATAACTGTTTACCTGTTCAACTTGAAATTTTTACAGATGCAAGAGCAGACTAGTACCAAGATCTGATTAGGTTAAGGGCATGCTGGGTAAACTACTTGGCGGCCATTTTGAATTTTTCAACAAATCTTGTCATCAAAATTCCAGGAAAACCACTTATCCGTTCAACTTGAAATTTTTACAGATGCAAGAGCAGACTATTGCCAAGATCTGATTAGGTTTTGGGTATGCTGGCTGAATTACATGGTGGCCATTTTGAATTTTTCAATTTGGCGGCCATTTTGAATTTTTCAACTTGCTCCAAATTGACCAAATTTTTTTTTAAAAAACATCTACAAATTCTCAGAAGTTCAAATCTGACCTTAGATTTCAGATTTGACCTTTCATTCACCTTCAGTGACCTTGAAAAGGTCAAAAAAGTTGATTTTCTAAATTGATATTTTGGATTTAAATTTAGGTCAGCTTAATTACAAAACACCTACTGAGGTCTGAAAAAGTGAAATTTTCAAGGTCGAAGGTCAAGGTCATTAAACTAGGTCACAAATGATGTTATCCAAGTTTCTCAAAGTTTGAGACTACAAATCAATTCTTGTCATCAAAATTCCAAGAAAACCGCTAACCTGTTCAACTTGAAATTTTTACACATGCAATAGCAGACTAGTGCCAAGATCTGATTAGGTTTAGGGCATGCTGGGTAAACTACGTGGCGGCCATTTTGAATTTTTCAACAAATCTTGTCATCAAATTTCCAGGATAACTGCTTACCTGTTCAACTTAAAATTTTAACAGATGCAAGGGCAGACTAGTACCAAGATCTGATTAGGTTAAGGGCATGCTGGGTAAACTATGTGGCGGCCATTTTGAATTTTTCAACAAATCTTGTCATCAAAATTCCAGGAAAACCACTGATCCGTTCAACTTGAAATTTTTACAGATGCAAGAGCAGACCATTGCCAAGATCTGATTAGGTTTTGGGTATGCTGGCTGAATTACATGGTGGCCATTTTGAATTTTTCAATTTGGCGGCCATTTTGAATTTTTCAACTTGCTCCAAATTGACCAAATTTTTTTTTTAAAAACATCTACAAGCTCTCAGAAGTTCAAATCTGACCTTAGATTTCAGATTTGACCTTTCGTTGACCTTCAGTGACCTTAAAAAGGTCAAAAATTTGATTTTCTAAATTAATATTTTGGATTTAAATTTAGGTCAGCTTAATTACAAAAGACCTACTGAGGTCTGAAAAAGTGAAATTTTCAAGGTCGAAGGTCATCAAATTAGGTCACAAACAATGTTATCTAAATTTTCCCAAAGTTCAAGACTACAAATAAATTCTTGTCATCAAAATTGCAGGAAAACCGCTAACCTTGTCAACTTGAAATGTTTACAGATGCAAGAGCAGACTAGTGCCAAGGTCTGATTAGGTTTTGGCCATGCTGGGTAAATTGCATGGTGGCCAGTTTGCTCTTCAAAGTGCGATATTTATCACTGTGTGTCTTGTTCAGTTTTGCTCTGTGAGAGCTTTTTTTTATTGAAAATAATGATTAAAGGCAGAATCAGATCTATGGGGGTGACAAAATTACAAGCAACATGTACAATTGACTTACCAATCTGTTCCTTACAATCTGAAATACAATATCTCCCAAAAGATTCCTGATATAGTATAAATTGGTGAAGTTATGATGGCAAAAATGGATGAAAAATGTTTAAATTCTTCCAAGTAATAAGAATGGTATTATGGTAACCATTCTAATAGAAAAAATATACATTAACATAAAAATCTTTAGTTTTCCTGAAATAAAGTGTGCACTTTGGGGATTTTTGCAAAATAGACATGAAAAGGAATGACATTAGCCAGAAATATTCTAAAATTGAAACAATTTTTTGTTAGGCTGCTCGCTAAATCTGATTCTCTCTTTAAGTTGTATAGTTTTCTACCTAGAAAAAAGATTAGATTGGCAGGTATTGAAATATTTACTGTTAATACAGTACTGAATAAATCAGTGAGGCACAGCAAAACCTAGTCTGGCATCAAGCCCCTGTATCCCCCCACAATTTCAGACAGTGTAATATACGTGATAGAGAAAATGGAAGCGTATAAGGGCTTGACTCAAGACTAAGATTCTAGTTAACATTGTATTTTGAGGTCAGTGTACTGACATATGTAATTATATGCCTGTAAGCAGAACTTGGGAAGTCATCTTATACTGTACAACGTAATATAATATTTTCTTTTTATATTTATGTGCTTTGTAGTCTTGCATTGAGTCTAGGTTAATCCCCCTCCTCATTTTTTCTAATCTTTTTAATTGATAGATTATGGGAGGGGATAATGTAGTAAATAGCCACAGTGCAAGACTATATCTTTTTTACATATCATTCTATCTGTATGGTAATTAGTGTATATATTGTTAAAGATATATATGAAGAGTTTCAGTGAGATACAATGTACATGATGTATGTATAATGTCTACAATTTAATATATGAAGAAAGAGCATGTATTGTTGCTTTGTTCTAAAACCAGAAAGTAAAATAGGCAAAAAACACAATAAATCCTCAAAATGAGTGCTATTTTTGCACTAAATCCAATTTCATGACATTTTGGATTTCCTTCAAATATCAATGACATGTAATTTTAATAAAAGGAAGTTGAGATTGGTAAATTAAAAATATTGCAAAAATGCGATCTATAGAACAAAATTAATTTGTGTGTATTGAATATACTTCTTAAATCAGTATTTTGGGTTTATCTATTAAGACTTTGAAATTAGTCATTCTTTTTATGTTCCCACCATATTGAGTGAGGCAATGATGTCAGCCTAGGTGCATCTGACTTGTTTGTGCTAGAGTACCAACAATATCACAGAAACAGCGATCACAGAAACAGGGCTTTCCTTAGAACTAAAACTTGGCATAGGTTATCTTTTGATCATCTTGAATCAATTGTATTATATTAAAATGCATTGGTTGTATTAGCTGTCAAAACATAAGTATGAATATAGTGAATATCGGAAGTGTATGTGCTTTGAAAAACATGTCTAATATTCATTTATTCATTCGATGGTCGAAGAGTTTTTATTAGATACATATCAAGACATTTTGGACACCCCGTTAAGTCAAAGGTAGAAGGTTCAAAGAAGCATTTTTTATGATCAAAAAATGTTATGGAGAAATGAAATTTGATCATGTGACATACCACGTCATGTGGCATATCATGTCTAGCCTGTGACCTTGATGTCAGCTTTGAACTCGTAGAACTGAGACAAATGTGGATTGTGGCTGATCTTTGGCATATTTAAACCAGTATAACGGTGACATCTATCAATAAGATGATAGTTTAGATTTATATACAATATACACAATCCTTAGTATAGAATATCACAGCCGAGGCTGTTGATTTGGGAACCTGGTTGATATCTTCCTGGGTAGGATACTTCTCCCTAAGGAGTTTTATCTGCTCCTAAGGGAGACAATTTTCTAAATCAAAGTGCATACATGTTTTTTTTGAAAATCTGACCAAAGTTCTCATGAATATTGCATTCTTGGTATTCTTGTCCTGTTATGCAACTTTGTTTGTTCTTGAATCGAAATGATTCAGTTTTTTCCTGGAAGATAAGTTCTTTTATTTAGAGCTACAGCTT